GGCGGGGACCGGAAGTACCGCGGGCCCGCCGGTTACCGGCACCGGCAGCGGAACAGGCCAGTCCAGCGGCAAGAGATATCGCACTCAGATGTCCGCTACCCAGGTGAAAGTGATGAAGTCGCTGTTCTCGGACTACAAGACGCCTACGATGGCCGAATGCGAGATGCTCGGGCGCGAGATCGGACTGCCGAAGCGCGTGGTTCAGGTGAGCAGTCTTTGTTTCGATATTGAGTTCTATTTTATCGTGCATGAACTTCGCAATAACTTCTCTTGCGGCAGTTGATTATTTTAATTGAAGTTAAGATTATTTTAGTTTCTATCCGTGGATTGGAACAATGAAAAATTATGCAATTTTAAACGAATATAAATATAACTTCGATATAACGATACAGATAATAAACATAATTTCACAAATTTTCAAATTCCTTGGCCGATTTAGATAAATGAAATTCTTTCTACTCTATCATTTCCTACGTTTACTCTGATTTATTGCATCTGCATTTTACAACTCTGCACGAGAAACATCAAACACTATGCGAATCCTTAACAAAATTCCAATTACAGTAGTACTTCATTCATATTAAGAATATGGAAGAACAAACAGTTGCTGCATAACTAGGATTAGTATAATATTTGTACAAGTACATTGGTTCTTCCTAGTTCTAGAAATTGTTCGTTCATATAAGTAGAGTTGACGTTCAAATAAGTCGAGTCAATAAGTAATTCGTTGAAGGATGCACTAGCGAAGATTTCGTTCTTATAACTGGATTTCAGATAAATGGAGTTCTATAGCAATTAACATCTATACCTCTTTCTCTTTATCTGTTAAATCTCCGAAGTTTCACCAACTCCACAATAATTCCTCCAATTACGTCATCCTATTGACGATAATCGAGTCACCAATGGGCTTTGCGATCTAATAGAAAGGAGTGGCAGGTGTGGTTCCAGAACGCCCGCGCGAAGGAGAAGAAAGCTAGACTGGCGGCAGGTTTGCCAGCCGAAGGATCGGCCGTCCAACCTCATCGCGGTCCGACCGGGCCCGACGAATGTAGGCTTTGCTCTGTTCGATACTCGGCCAAGTCGCCGCTCCAGGAGCACGTATTCTCACGACGACACATCGAATCGGTGCGTGTCGCCGTCGAGGAAGGTAGCCTCGTGCCGCCAACACCCGGCGCACCGATCGTTCCTGGTGGCAACAGTGGCGCAGCAGGAATCGGTAGCTCGCCGGTGGTCGGGCCTGGTAACCAGCAAGGCGGCCAGCAGCAGCAATCGGACGAAAACATGATGTACGGATCCTTGTTCCTCCATCCTACGGCGATGTTCCAGCCTCAGCAACAACAACATCCGGGCAGCGCAGCGGCTAGTACGGCTACCACC